AGTAGGTCCATGATGAAGAGGTTTGTGGGGTAAAAGATTAACGGTTTTACCAGCTAACATTACCAAACTAACGCACCTCATTCACCTCATCACTGTTTATCTGGAACTGCAGAGCCAGAAAACTATAACGTAAGTTGAACACTAGCTGCATTCCAAAGTCTATGCTGCAGCCGAGATAGCTCAGGTCCTCGGTAGGACTGTCCTATGAAGACTCCTCCTTAGTAGGAGTGGAACAGTCCTAATGAGGCTGCATGGTGAAGTCACCACAGCAACGTGAAACTCGTGAAGGAACTGGTGAGAGAAAATGGAGCACACTGCGTTAAGTTTGTTGCGTTTTCATTTCTTCATGGAAATGGAGATGTTCTTATGTTTTACGACAAACTACAAATACACAAATACTACTAAATAGAATATGATATATGGATGATATACGACACATGGACGAACACTTTAATTAATCAGTGATTTTACACTTTATAAGGTAACAAAGACGAATTCAAGGACGTGAACAACTTATATTTTAAAACAAGCTCTGCTACAACAGCTTTGTTTTCCGCCATTTTTGTGGTGCCGCTTTTTTCTCCTTTGTGTTCTTCATGTGCAGAGAACTGTGGGTAACCGAAGGCCTGGAAGGATACATCTGATGTGTCCTTGAAATCACTCCAAACGTAGGCTGCATTTCTAGGCTGTATACGAAGGGTGCTTCAACTTGAAACAGCCTTCTATGATGTAGTGGCCGAGAAATGCAGCCTATCTCGGCTGCAGCCTAGGCTTTCGAATGCAGCTATAGACAGAATGAATTATCCTCTTTCTTACTTTTCTGATCTTTACTTTTAAATATTTCAAATTAATTTAATTGTCTGTTCATCTTCACTGAAACATGGTTCTCACAACTCAGCACTCCCAGTGTAGCTATGGAATTGGGTGTAGTGCAATTATGGAAATGTGTGTAGTGTAACTATTTGTTTTCTTAAAAAAAGGTTAAATGATATCACAGGAAATGATGATGATGTGTGTGACATCATCTGACTCCACTGTAATTTAATGTCACAAGGTGTGTGGAGTCTTCATATTAAGCTTCATATTAAACACAGTCACTCTTGATGTGTCTCACTGGCTTAAAAATCAGGAACATCAACTGCAGGGAAGGTATTTTCTGCCCTCATAATACACATTACCGCTCTGTATATTAGACCTTAATGAGTGGAGGAACTGTGGAAAGCAGATTGTTGACTTGCTGACAATTATATGTTAATGTTAGTATTTTAATGTTTCCATTTTAAGGTTATTAGAGTACTCAATATTAGGGCTGTGCAATATGACAATATATATCATTATTGTGATAAATTATGTCACAATACAATACAATCTGCTTCTCTGATCCTATCGTGTATATCATCAGTACTTGTAGACACTGAGCAACTGCATGATACATTATAAAGTGAGCAAAATTAGTCCTGTGTAACTGGATTTAGTGCCAAATACTGAATAATAATCTGTTCAGTTTTTGATAGTATTTTTTAAAATGTAGCACTGTTGGCTCTTTTTTCTCTGTGCCAGCTGATTATTACATGTCTGAAAAAATAAACATCATGATATATTGTGTATTGTAAAAATTTCCTGAAGAATCGCAATATCATATTTTTGCCATCACCCACCTCTATTCAACATTAAAAAGAACATTATTTTATGATAATGCAGCATCAGAGATAATATTAAATGCTAATGAGAAGTTTATGCTGCCAGTAGTGAATTGAAAGCAAAAATCTCTGAATTTGTCGTTACATTTCGAAATAAAAGCGACAGCCACTCTAAGAAATCACCTCTTTAACTGAGGAGAGGAGATTAAAGGGCAGATAAAGAGGCCTACTCTGTAGGCATTAAAGGGTTAAACAGGGTTAAACGTCCTTGCTCTCTCGGTCACGCCTCAGTCTGAGTGCTGACGCGTTCAGTTGGCGGGTCAGAAGGGTGTTATCGAGTGTCCACAGCTTGCTCTCTCGCCCACCCACACTGCGGACAGACTGTCCAGTACGAGGGGCCATCTGTCTGTGCGTGTTATCAGTACCTCCAAAGCGTCCCCCTGGACCCCGGCCTGTCACAACACACATTTAGCATCTTTCACACTAAAGAGTAGCGGGAGACTTCCTTCCTTTAGGCCCAAATAAAAGAAACACCGATCCACTTCCTGTTCGCCTGAGGAAGACCCTGACTGGCTATTTCGACCCATCCACTTCGCTAACTATAGACCCAAACAGCGAAGCAGCCTGACCCACATCCCTATTTAAAGACCCTCTGAGGAAGGACAGGAAACATAACGAGTCTCAGACTGTTTATACAGGATCTCTCAGAGTAGCACTACTGAGCTCTGCATTAAAGGGCCCGTACCATGGAAAACTGAGTTGTTCTCTCTTTATTGATGGAACAGAGTTTAATGTAGTATGGTATTTTGCAATGCTTCAAGAAGTTTTGTATAATACACAAAAAGTCACAGTATTGTTTTTCCTGACATCTGATATGTTACAATAGACAAAGTAAGTGCACATTTAAAAAAATATTATCAAAAACTATAAATTAATTAAATACAAGTAATTTGTATTTAACATTTCACACACTGTGCCGCATTAAATCCAATAAAACATGACTAATTATGCTCTCTGTAATCAAGCATGCCGATGGTTTTGGTTTTTAACTGATGACATTCACAATACGCTCAGAAAAGCACGTTGTGATGTAATTTAACACCTTAACACTGGATATTGTCATACTGCCCAGCTCAAACATAAACCCTGTTAGAACTTCAAAACATATAATTCACTCCACCAGAACATATAGTCCATATGTGGAAAAAAATCACCTGTTTTGAATTCTTTGTTTTTGTGATGTCACAAAAGCTAAGGCATTTACACACATCTGTCCAACACAGTAGCTAATCAGAACACAGCTAATTTACATATATCAGTCTTAACGGCACAGTTACAAAGAGGTTGGAAAATTGGCATATCTGTTAAATACCCAGCATGTGGATATGTATTAAGTTAGTTTATATTTGTATATGTAAATGCTTTGTATTTGTTTATATAAATATTTGTTGTGAGATCACAGAAACAAAGAATTCCAAAACAGGCAATTTTTGCAGTTTAGTTTTCATGTCACTGTTCTTAGAACAAAAACTCATATTTACATATTGGTAACTTTACAGGAGAAGGAAAAAACATTCTTTACTTTAGTATAAGTAAATGGAACCAGACGTTTTCCCAAGTTGTTTTATTCCGTTTCTTTTGGTCCATTCATCATGAAATTTACACACAATGTAAAGGATAACAGGCATTTTCAAATTATGTCAAAAACAGAAAAACAACAAAAACGGAGATTTAAGGTTTTGTTCTGACAGCCGATATACGAACTATATGTACTCAGGGAGAACGGGACATTTTCAAATTTTATCTATGTTTATATACCATATAAAACTTGTATTAAAAAAAGAAGGAAAATGTAGTCCTCCATGATATGGGCCCTTTAAACAAATGACAAAACATCCAAAACCACAAAAGCACAATTCACTACCGTGCAAAACACAAAATATTTTTTGTGCACTTCCTCAACAACCTTTTCTACACAGCTCTACAGACACAAAGAAGTCCTCCGAGATATCCGACTGTGCGGTGCAGATTCAGCAGACGGAGATCAGAAGGAATTCCTTTAAACATTCACTCAGGAGGAGAGGGAGGAAGTAAATAAGGAGAGGAAAATGAAAAACAGAAAAAGCAGGAAACACAAACGCAGCCACGGCCGAACTATTCACAGATTCAAAGGGAAATTCTCTTTTAGAGATGCAGAGAACACAGGAAGTGCTGCAGAGGAGCGGCAGGTTTCCCGACAGAGAGACGAGATTCCCACAGACACACTGAAAAAAACTACTGTCAGGAAAAACATGGAGCGCACATGCCTCAATGAGCCCACCGCTCCTCAGCCCAGACCTACACACAACAGACCACTCATTTCAGCCCATCACAGATCAATAAACATGCACACCAGGAGCAAATTCATCCAATAAATCCAATATATAACAACCACAGAAAGGGGAATTACACCAAGTTTTTAAAATTCTTTGCACAATTCAATGGTTTGGAGTGAAACGCTGTGTTCTGAATTGTTCACAGTGGTGGCAGACGTCCACCTCTACAAGCTCCCTCACAGAAGGTTATTAATGAAATGGTTATGAATAGGCTGCCTGACGTCTGAGACACTGTTTTACGATAGTTTTGAGAAGATTTTGGCCAAAAAAGGTATTTATTTATAAATATATTCATGCTGGAGAGGTACATGCAGGGCATTGTACAAAAATATGATTATTTTTATTATTATTATATTGTAATATTATTATTTCAGACTTTCCACTATTTTCCCATCATCATCATTCCATATAAACTCAGAAGACTCGTATAGGTTCACTGGTGGTTTTGGATAGTAAATGTCTATATTTGTGTTGTAGTCATGGCAACCCCTGGTTCCTATCACCACCACTGTAAAGAAATCTGTTTACATCTCACACAATGAATTATGGGGGAATTTTGGGTGGAATTCCCCTTTGAAGGAATACTGGAGCTACAAGGCTAATATGGCTAACGTGGCTAAATTTGTTAAAACTTGGGAATTTGGGATGGCTGCTTCTACTGTTTTAAAACTATGTCCTGTACTTATGCTAATTGGTGGGGTATACGCTTCCATTAATTGTTAGCTACATTAGCCTTGTAGTGCTAAAACTAAAGAAGCAAACTTCAGACACCAAACACGTCTCAATTGAGTAGCTACATCTGGGTTGGGGAGAGAGGGGGAAATTGGACTTTTTAGCCGAACTATCACTTTAAGTGTTAACTGTACAGAACAAATTTCAGCTGCACTGAGGATGTGAATATCTGAAGGTGCTGATGATCTAAAACCGCAAAGGGGAGGCCCAAAGTTCTCCAAGCAGTAAACAAAGAGGCGCAGGGTGAACTCACCACGGCGTGCCGTATATCTGAAAGCCCTTGACGGTGACGTCCGAGTCCTGCAGGTAAATACAGTTCGTGAGGAGAGACTGAACATTGTCAAAGTCCTCGGGTTTGAGTTTGGAGACGGAGGGGAAGCGGTAATAATCCTGCTTCACCAGCTCAGACATGAAGTCCTTATCGAAGGTCAGCTCGTGGTTTCCCGCGATGACCACCTTAAACTCGTACGGCAAACTCCCTGCAGGAACACAAACACACACACAGTCAAATATAAACACACACAAGGACTTAAACACAGCACAGTCACACACATACAGTAACACACACATCACAAACACTCTAAGCCTGAACATTAAACTTGGCCAGAAAATAATTTCATATATTTATAGTTGTATGCAAAAGTTAAAATTACAAATTTTGTCAATTTTTGTGCTTATTTTCTATTTATCTCCTGAGTTTACTGTATTGGGGGAAAATAAATAATATGTGTCAAAACTTTTACACAGGCCACATTTTTTTTTTCCCCCCAAATAAACAGTAATTGTGTATTAAAATGTGCATAAGTGTCAATGAAAATGAGCTAACACAATTTAATAGTGTAAAATTTTCTATTTATTTAATCAAATTCAGTTAAATTTATTCAGTTAGATTCAGTAAACTAATAGTAATTGTGTATTAAAATGTGTGTGAAGTGTGTTTTCTGTAGAGAACTAACTTGTTAACTTACACAGAGAAAATCAACAAAATGTGTAATGTGAGCGGGGCGCAACTTTTGCAAATGACTCTATGCAAATAAGCTCTGTTCTGATTGGCTGCCCTGTATAGCTGCCTCATTTAAAAATCAGTCCAGGCTGAAACACTCCTTATAACGTCAGTGTGAGTTGGCGGGCCTGAAGTGCTGTAGGCTGAATGGGGGGGGGTATATCAAAATGGCTGATTTTGCATTTCATATAATAATTATATTCTACATCAAACTTATTTACAAATAATAAATTATCTATCTATCTGCCCATATATACATCATGTTTTATTTAAATAGAGGAAAGTCAATTTTCCAGTATATAAACCCTTTAAAGTGTATTTTGAGTCAATTAAGACTTTTTAAATATCTGTGCATTTTTTCTTCAAAATGTTTATTTTATTGCTGATCTGTGAAAATCAGGATGTATTAGCATTCTTAGTCAAATAAATACAAAATAAAACAAAACAGGCCTAATCATAATAATAATAATAATAAATATAGCCGCAAGCGGCAATGAGCGGGTTCAAGCACGCAACAGCAGTACGGGCCCTTCTGCAGGTTTAGCCCATTAGGCCTAAAAAGGCCTCAAGCTTCTGGTTTAGGCCATTAGGCCTAAAAAGGCCTCAAGCTTTTGGTTTCGCCCATTAGGCCTAAAAAGGCCTCAAGCCTTCTATTATATTAGGCTTAAACAGGCTTCAAGCCTTTGTATAGTAAGTCTTTGTATTGTGAAATCTTTGAAAGAATAATCCAAAATAAAAGACAAGCAGTGCAATTTTTGACATAACATGTAATTAGAAAGTTGTTCATCTTAGTGGACTGAGTCATATGACACCAATAGTTCATATGTGGACCTTGTAATAACACTGTAATAGCATTTTCATTGATTTTTCAGTGTTTTTGAGTGCTAAGGCACACCCAAAGGCCAATGTGGACAATTGGCAGACACCATTAGAGTCCAAATATGTATAAATCCTCAAAGTTTGGACATGATCTGACCAATGGCTGGTGAGTTATAGCTAATCAAGCTAACAATACCACGTATGCAGGAATTTAGTGATTAATCCACATGACCCTGAGAAGAAAAGTCAAAATGTTTTTGATAATTATGTACCTAGAGATGCCAAAGAATTGTTCTAGACCAACTTTGACAAGATTGGATCAAAATCCAGAGACTAGTTCAAAAAATAGGGTTTTGAAACATTTATCTATTACAAAAAAAGATACAGATTTTTAATAAACATGTATAGGCAAAATTGTTTGTCCCAATGTACTACAATAGGCTGTAGGCGAAAACTGTAATAATATTGTAATAACATGTAATAATATGTAATTTTTTGAAATAGCGCCCCCCAGTGGTCAAATCTTTTGAAACTCGACTGGTTGTTAGAAAGTGGCTACATATAGACACCAGTCAAGTTTCGTCATGATTGGTCAATGTTAAGCCTGTCAAATGGCCTGCTGAATGCTTATTGGCCGATGGCGGCCACAAATTTTGATGTATCCAAAAGTCCTTAAATGCACACATGTAGAATGGCCAGAGGATGCTGCATACCAAGTTTGAGCCTGATCAGATGTACGGCTGCAGAGAAAATGCCCTGTTTTTGTTGCTCCGCCCCCTAATTACTTATGCGCACAAAAATCGAATGGCTACCTCAGAATGGGCTACTGACATGCCATATGTAGTTTGAAATTTTTTGGCTGAAGGATTCTTGAGTTAGAGATTTTTCAATTAATTCTGAATTATTTTGAATTTATCCAGAAGGGTTCATTTGCATATGGCCGCCATGTTGTATGGAAAACTCAAAATATTTTTGATAATTATTGACCAGGACACTCTTCTGAATTTTTTGACACCAAAGACATGAGGATTGGGCAAAAATTGGAGGACTAGTTCGCAAAAGTAGGTTTTGCACATTTTGCAGTATTGCGAAAAATCTAAGTGGGCGGAGCTTAATAATCAAAATAGCCAAAAGGTTTATTTGGACCCATAGAATCAGGAAAAAAATATGGTTTGTCTGGCAAAAATCTGGTTTAGGAGATACAGACCCAAACGCGTTGGCCTGCGCTGTAGCGCCCCCTTGTGGCCAACTGGGCTAATTCCTTGCGCCTGAGTAGCGGGAGGGACTACTACCTATCGACCAAGTTTGGTGTCTCTAGGACTGACGGTTTGGGCTGTGCGTTCCGTTTCAGGGCAGAAAAATAATAATAATAATAAATATAGCCGCAAGCGGCAATGAGCGGGTCCAAGCACGCATAAGCCCAAGAAACTCTTTAGGCACTTTAAGCCTAATAGGCCTAATAAGGCCTAACGCACTTTGGGCCTTCGAGGCAGAGAGGCCGAAAAGAAATCAGAGTTTATCAACAGGCCTTCATTTGTCAAGAACAATGAGCATGGGCTTTAAAACCTAATAGATGTTTATATTTCAATTTACTGATCTAAAAAGGTTTGTAGAAATACATGAGTAATGGTAAAAATTTCTGACTTTGTTGTGTTTGCAAAGTATTTAGTTTCTCCATGTTAAAGGCTTTGACAAGCAGGACATAAACAGAACCAATGGACCCATAAGGGCCTTTTAAGCATAAAGGACCTCAGTGAAAGTGGGTGAAAATTGGTTCAAAGGTCTTCAAATGTTATGAATATTGATCAGGGACCTTTGTCAAAGATTGTCATTGAGTTTTGTTCAGATTGACCTTTTGACCTTGGTATTACAAGCTGTAGTCTTTACATGAATAATTCAAAATAGCAGAAAAGGAGCACAACTTATGATATAACATGTAATTACAAAGTCAATTAGATCAGTGAACTGAATCAAATGACACCTCTTATTTATCTGTAGACTTTGTAGTATTGTTGTAACAACATTTTTAAGGATTTTAGGTGTTTTTGAGTGCTAAAGCGCCCCCTATTGGCCAATTACAATAATACAATAGGCTGTAGGCGAAAATTGTAATAATATTGTAATAACATGTAATAATATGTAATTTTTTGAAATAGCGCCCCCCAGTGGTCAAATCTTTTGAAACTCGACTGGTTGTTAGAAAGTGGCTATATATAGACACCAGTCAAGTTTCGTCATGACTGGTCAATGTAAAGCCTGTCAAAAGGCCTGCTGAATGCTTATTGGCCGATGGCGACCACAAATTTCGATGTATCCAAACGTCCTTCAATACACACTTGTAGATTTGCGAGAGGATGCTGGATGCAAAGTTTCAGCTTGATAGGATGTTCAGAGGCAGAGAAAATGCCCTGTTTTTGTTGCTCCGCCCCCTAATTACTTATGCGCACAAAAATCGAATGGCTACCTCAGAATGGGCTACTGACATGCCATATGTAGTTTGAAATTTTTTGGCTGAAGGATTCTTGAGTTACAGATTTTTCAATTAATTCTGAATTATTTTGAATTTATCCAGAAGGGTTCATTTGCATATGGCCGCCGTGTTGTATGGAAAACTCAAAATATTTTTGATAATTATTGACCAGGACACTCTTCTGAATTTTTTGACACCAAAGACATGAGGATTGGGCAAAAATTGGAGGACTAGTTCGCAAAAGTAGGTTTTGCACATTTTGCAGTATTGCGAAAAATCTAAGTGGGCGGAGCTTAATAATCAAAATAGCCAAAAGGTTTATTTGGACCCATAGAATCAGGAAAAAAATATGGTTTGTCTGGCAAAAATCTGGTTTAGGAGATACAGACCCAAACGCGTTGGCCTGCGCTGTAGCGCCCCCTTGTGGCCAACTGGGCTAATTCCTTGCGCCTGAGTAGCGGGAGGGACTACTACCTATCGACCAAGTTTGGTGTCTCTAGGACTGACGGTTTGGGCTGTGCGTTCCGTTTCAGGGCAGAAAAATAATAATAATAATAAGAAGAAAAATCCTCACAATTCCAATAGGGTTCAATGCATTGCATGCTTGAACCCTAAATATAGCCGCAAGCGGCAATGAGCGGGTTCAAGCACGCAACAGCAGTACGGGCCCTTCTGCAGGTTTAGCCCATTAGGCCTAAAAAGGCCTCAAGCATCTGGTTTAGGCCATTAGGCCTAAAAAGGCCTCAAGCTTTTTGTTTCGCCCATTAGGCCTAAAAAGGCCTCAAGCCTTCTCTTATATTAGGCCTAGAAAGGCCTCAAGCCTTTGTATAGTAAGTCTTTGTATTGTGAAATCTTTGAATGAATAAGCCAAAATAAAAGACAAGCAGTGCAATTTTTGACATAACATGCAATTAGACAGTTGTTCCTCTTAGTGGACTGAGTCACATGGCACCAATTGTTTATATGTCGACCTTGTAATAACATTGTAATAGCATTTTTATTGATTTTTCAGTGTTTTTGAGTGCTGAAGCACCCCCAAAGGCCAATCTGGACCAAACTTGGCATACTCCATTAGAATCTCAATATCTACAAGTCCTCAAAGTTTGAACATGATCTGACCAATAACTGATGAGTTATAGCTAATCAAGCTAACAATGCCACGTATGCAGGAATGTAGTGATTAATCC